CCATATTCTAGGATTATTTATGGTTTCAAAGTATTTGTATCAAATCGCTATTATTTCAAATTATTTCAATTCATTATCTGTAAACATATTATTAGCTTTTGATTGAATACAATGTATTTAAACTCAAGAAGTGATTAAATAAAATATATTTATATCGCAGTATACGTTATATTCATTATTACAGATCCACTGAATCCTAATGAAGACACAATTGATGCGATAATCATCGCATATAACGGTATCGCAATGCAAAGTGTGCTCAAACCTGTGATAAGTACGGTATGTGTCTCACCATTGAGTATTGGTTCCCAAACGATCACTTCATTGCCAAACAGCCATTTCTTATGAATCAATTAATCACTTTTATTATAAATGCTTTGTTTCTTATTTATTACATATGTATTAAAATTAACTTTTCTTAATGAAAACAATTAACAAATATTATGGAAATAGTAATACAAAAGTTGGTATTAATACCGATAATCATATCTTGAAGTTAAGTAGTGTTGGAATAAATTACAATCAAATCAAATATATTTATAAAATGCCATCAAATGGTAAATCAAATCAAATGAATGCAACAAATGTTTGATATAATGACTAATGTTTGGCAGAATTAGGGCTTTGAATGACAGACAGTTCCGATGACTCGATTTTTTCCATGTCTTCGTTAAAACTGTGGATCCATTGCTTGAGTTCAGGCTTTAAACGCAATACAGATTATCAATACATGTCATCAAATCAATGGCAACAATACATACATTCTTATGGATGGCTTTATCCCAGAGACTGACGTCATGTTTATTGCATTTGTTGGCCACTCGTGTCCTTCGGGAGCGTCTAGTCTTCGAGGCCTTAGGAGTGGATCTCATTGTGGGCGAGAAGTGCACCCATTTGTCGATCGAGCAGTACTTCCGACTGCTTTTGCTTTTATCAAAACTCAGATCCGAATCCCAATCGTAAACACTTTCGCAACTCATGTCTTGAGACATGTCTTCAGATGACATGTCTTTAGAGCTGGTCTTAGGAATGGGCGATAAGTTGAGCACCGCTTCGATCGTTGTCTTCGTCGCCATCGCAGCCATACGTCGGCCGTCACTCTTGTGGTCCTTCGGGTCAAAGAGCTGATCCATTGGTGACAATCGCTTACAATACCATTCAATTCACTCTTCGCTCAAATGTTGAATGCCTTGCAATCAATTGCGCCAAACAGTGAACCAATCAATGCGTGTCTCAGTGTATGTGTCGACACTTTCCTAACTATTTCTACGCAAAAAGTCTACAATAATTTGTACGCAACTGTACTGTCGAATGCAAAACGTATGCTACAGATGTTTACTTGACATAAAAGTTGTGTTCACTGCGTAAAACAACCGTTTCGAAAGTTGGGTATCTATGCGTATTTACTGCAGTGAAAACAAACTCTCCGCCTCCCTAAGGGGTTTGCCTTCATTTATAGGACAATCGTATGACAAACTCAACGAATGGACCAATACTTACATCTAATGTAACACTGAATGAGTTGTGCAAAAGTGTTATAATATATTAATTTGCAAACAATTGGACATAAAGTGACGGTTAATACACATAAATAGTAATCCAGTGTTGGGTTGGAGTGAAAGGGGTGTTGAGTGTCGCGAACGTAGTGTATGTGCGGACGGGTGTAGTGTTGTTGTGGCCAATAGTGTAAGACTGCAAGTGTTTGTGTTGTTTACATGCAATCATCTGATGTCTGCCTATGAGAGCAATGATACAGTTGTGGTAGTATTGGTAGTACTGGTAGTACAACAACAATACAGCAGTTGTAGTGATAGGTTGAGTGAGTGCTGGCATTACTGTACTGTGTTATGATAATAGCCTTGAATGTAATGAATCGCATAATAAGTGACGAATAGTTGAATTAAATTGCATTTACTTTAATAATAATCACTCGAATCGAGTGTTTTGTATCCGATATTGCATTTCGACATTCATTTCATTCGCTTTCAGTATTAGTCTGTGTTTTAGTCGACATTTCAGACGACTATAGCATTGAATGCAACGCTAATTAGTCGTCGAGTCTTTGTGTCAATCGATGCAAACAAACAGCGATTTGAAGCCGTTCTCATCGGTATTCTTGTTATTCGCCTAGTTATCTGTGTTCTGCACGGTGTTTGGTTTGTGTAGGCAGGCAGGCTGAGTAGTGAACACGCGGCTTGCCGAGCGGACATTTCCATACATAACTGTGCATTGCTGACCATTACTACCATTGAATGCATGACCCGTTTGGTGTCGATTAGGTGCCAAACCAGAGGCCCATTATATATGTCGTGAGTGTAAGACATATCAGTGCCGTCTCTGCGAAGAGCTATTGCACGAGAATCCGGGTTTTGACACCCATTCACGACAGCCATTGGTGGTGACCGCGGATCAGCTGCTCTGCGACAACGGCTGTCAAACCCGAAACTTAGCGGACGTGGAGTGCGTTGAGTGTCGCAAACGGTTGTGTTTTATTTGCGACCAATCGTTACACTCGTCACCAAACAAACGAAAACATCAAAAGATACCAATTGTTGACAATCGGGACAAAGAGGACAACGAAGAGTTCTATTCGTGTCAATACGTGTCCACCGGAACCGTTGAGACGGAGGCGACGGAGCCTTTAGTTAACATTGATTTGGNCGGATGCGGTGGTCTTTGGTATGACTGTATTGATCTCTCCCCTATCGTTATGACACACCCGACAGATGTAGATCTGATTATTAAACTGGTGTTGAAATTTGCATTTGCTGTGCGCCGAGTGGGACACACCGTCTCGCAAATGGTTCATCGAATACACACATTGAGAGCTGCATTCAGAAAACATTCAAAGTTAAAGCGAATGATTGAGTGAATGCCAGCAATTGGTATGACCTGCAGGAGAGACAGTGCACCGAACACTTGAAGTAAGCGTCAAAGAGGGTCTTCGGAATCGCTTTATTGATATCTCCAGAAAACTTTTCATTCAAAAGCTGTTTAATAATAAAACAACAATTTAAGTGAATTTATATTGAAATATAAATGAATGATTACTTTTAAGGCCGTGAAGACAACATCGGAAGTACGACTCGACCTAACGGTAGAGTTGCTTAAATGTCTTCTCACAGTCTCTTGAAGTGGTTTGAAATCTGTCGGCGGAGTAATGGTTTGCGTCCCGACGTATTCAAAAGCACTGAATGCTTCAATAGACTGATCGGACTGTTGGAAGCGTTTACGGACGTAGTCTTCAGGTGTGAGATCATTGTCTGCGGGACAATACAATGGCTTAATATAACTGCTAATCAACAACATTGCAAAAAAGACAAACCGGTGCACAAGATGTTGGTGTGAAGTGTCTCATGAAATATGATAACAGTTGGTCCCTATCGAAGACAAATGAGTGAATGAGTAAATAGACATTTAGCGAATCAAATGAATGGTATACCAGATCAGAGAGAGGACAGGAGAGTTTGAATCTCTGTGTCGCTGCCTTAAGTTCTTTGGAAAAGTGTTGGACATATACTCGTGAGGCGTCGCCCAGGAATGTGAACAGATCCTCGTGAAGGCGTTCGGCACGCGTTCGGTATATAATTATGTCAGAAATGGCCAATACTTTGACGTCTTCTGCTCAAGACGCCAATAATAAGAGCCTTTACGGCTCGTCAGGAAGCCACAGATAACACTACTGGAAGCTCATGCCCAGCATGCGTGTGGTCTACGGTTAGCATGTGCTCAAGACACACCGGGATGTTTTGAACATCTCTTTGCCCTCAAAGAACGTGTAATTCAATGTATGGGACTTTCCTTCGCCTGTATTCCCGAAAATGGACACCACTTTAATGAGTGCCGTCGGAGAGCAACCCATTTTAGTGGCGAACTCTTCGCTCGAGTTTACTCTCAATAACTCGTTCTCATCGATGAGAAGAAAACTCTTGAGTTCCTCCGATTGGGTGGCACTCGAGTGCATTACCACAACACCTGTTCCCGTCATTGGACTCATTGGCGGCACATTCACTGAAGTCAACTACCGGTTGACGCGCTACAGAAGCCTCATCCAGACCAACCTCAGCAACACAGACAGTAAATAGAGTAAGAACTTTAACCAAAGTAACAATACACTCAGCTACAGAAGTGGCGAGCTGAGGTAATCAATGTTAACTAAAGGCTCCGTCGCCTCCGTCTCAACGGTTCCGGTGGACACGTATTGACACGAATAGAACTCTTCGTTGTCCTCTTTGTCCCGATTGTCAACAATTGGTATCTTTTGATGTCCAAATCAATGTTAACTAAAGGCTCCGTCGCCTCCGTCTCAACGGTTCCGGTGGACACGTATTGACACGAATAGAACTCTTCGTTGTCCTCTTTGTCCCGATTGTCAACAATTGGTATCTTTTGATGCTTTCGTTTGTTTGGCGACGAGTGTAACGATTGGTCGCAAATAAAACACAACCGTTTGCAACACTCAACGCACTCCACGTCCGCTAAGTTGCGGGTTTGACAGCCGTTGTCGCAGAGCAGCTGATCCGCGGTCACCACCAATGGCTGCCGTGAATGGGTGTCAAAACCCGGATTCTCGTGCAATAGCTCTTCGCAGAGACGGCACTGATATGTCTTACACTCACGACATATATAATGGGCCTCTGGTTTGGCACCTAATGGACACCAAACGGGTTATGCATTCAATGGCAGTAATGGTCAGCAATGGTGGCAATCGTGTCAATACATACCTTTACAGGCGAGCCGTTCGGCGCACAAGTGATGAGTCGGACGGACGGATGTGTTTGGTTTGTGGCACGTCTTGTGTCTATTGATCCGCTTATTGTTCTTATGGCTACTCTTGGGCTTCAAATCGCTGTTTGTTTGCATCGATTGACACAAAGACTCGACTCGTAATTAGCGTTGCATTCAATGCTATAGTCGTCTGAAATGTCGACTAAAACACAGACTAATACTGAAAGCGAATGAAATGAATGTCGAAATGCAATATCGGATACAAAACACTCGATTCGAGTGATTATTATTAAAGTAAATGCAATTTAATTCAACTATTCGTCACTTATTATGCGATTCATTACATTCAAGGCTATTATCATAAACAGTACAGTAATGCCAGCACTCACTCAACCTATCACTACAACTGCTGTATTGTTGTTGTACTACCAGTACTACCAATACTACCACAACTGTATCATTGCTCTCATAGGCAGACATCAGATGATTGCATGTAAACAACACAAACACTTGCAGTCTTACACTATTGGCCACAACAACACTACACCCGTCCGCACATACACTACGTTCGCGACACTCAACACCCCTTTCACTCCAACCCAACACTGGATTACTATTTATGTGTATTAACCGTCACTTTATGTCCAATTGTTTGCAAATTAATATATTATAACACTTTTGCACAACTCATTCAGTGTTACATTAGATGTAAGTATTGGTCCATTCGTTGAGTTTGTCATACGATTGTCCTATAAATGAAGGCAAACCCCAATCCCTCCGCCTCTCAAACAAAAGTGACGTCATTTATGCGTATCTATGGGTTGAAAGCTTTGCCAACAAAATGCGTCACTTGTGTTGAAAATACAGTTCATTTGTAGACATCGTATGCAAAACGTAGTGACAGTACAGTTGCGTACATATTATTGTAGACTTAAAGCGTAGAAATAGTTAGGTTTGTGTCAACACATATACTGAGCCACGCATTGATTGGTTCATTGTTTGGCGCAATTGATTGCAAGGCATTCAACATTTGAGCGAAGAGTGAATTGAATGGTATTGTGTTCGCGATTGTCACCAATGGATCAGCTCTTCGACCCGATGGACCACAAGAGCGACGGCCGACGTATGGCTGCGATGGCGACGAAGACAACGATCGAAGCGGTGCTCAACTTATCGCCCATTCCTAAGACCAGCTCTAAAGACATGTCATCCGAAGACATGTCTCAAGACATGAGTTGCGAAAGTGTTTTCGATTGGGATTCGGATCTGAGTTTTGACAAAAGCAAAAGCAGTCGGAAGTACTGCTCGATCGACAAATGGGTGCACTTCTCGCCCACAATGAGATCCACTCCTAAGGCCTCGAAGACTAGACGCTCCCGAAGGACACGACTGACCAACAAATGCAATAAACATGACGTCAGTCTCTGGGATAAAGCCATCCATAAGAATGTATGTATTGTTACCATTGATTTGATGACATGTATTGATACTCTGTATTGCGTTTAAAGCCTGAACTCAAGCAATGGATCCACAGTTTTAACGAAGACATGGAAAAAATCGAGTCATCGGAACTGTCTGTCATTCAAAGCCCTAATTCTGCCAAACATTAGTCATTATATCAAACATTTGTTGCATTCATTTGATTTGATTTCCCATTTGATGGCATTTTATAAATATATTTGATTTGATTGTAATTTATTCCAACACTACTTAACTTCAAGATATGATTATCGGTATTAATACCAACTTTTGTATTTCTATTTCCATAATATTTGTTAATTGTTTCCATTAAGAAAAGTTAATTTTAATACATATGTAATAAATAAGAAACAAAGCATTTATAATAAAAGTGATTAATTGATTCATAATAAATGGCTGTTTGGCAATGAAGTGATCATTTGGGAACCAATACTCAATGGTGAGACACATACCGTACTTATCACAGGTTTGTGCACACTTTGCATTGCGATACCGTTATATGCGATGATTATGGCATCAATTGTGTCTTAATTAGGATTCAGTGGATCTGTAATAATGAATATAACGTATACTGCGATATAAATATATTTTATTTAATCACTTTTTGAGTTTAAATACATTGTATTCAATCAAAAGCTAATAATATGTTTACAGATAATGAATTGAAATAATTTGAAATAATAGCGATTTGATACAAATACTTTGAAACCATAAATAATCCTAGAATATGGCATCGATAGCGCGGTATACGGCATGTAATGACAATTAAATAGAAAAATTAAGTTAAATTGATATATATTTAGTGGCATTTAGTCCAAGAGCTCGAAAAGCCAACTATCGTTGTCATAGCCCTCGCAGACGTGATCGCAGAGCACTTTGCGTCTGTCTTCGCAATATCTAGAAATGTTAATCACATCTGTTTTCATGGCTTTAATGTTCGCCACTTCTGTCAGATCTTTCTCCATGAGTTCAGACAATCGCTCGACAGTCACCTCAAGGTTCGACTGATTGTCTTCAAAAATGAGTGAGTGATTGTTCTTTTGGAGGTAATAAGCGAAAGGATAGGTATACATAAGCGTCTGCCGACACGCGCACAACGTTATGAACGCCTCGCGAAGGAACTGCACCTCAACCCAAGTCATGTTCCGGAGCTGCAGCTCATCCATCTTGACGCTCACCTCTGAGAACTGTTTGGTCTCAGACTTGAGGCTCTGCTGATGGTTTTGAAATCGCGTCCAATAATGAATGTATCGCTGCAGTCGAGCCCTCGCTGTTTGAGTTTCTTTGCTCTCTTCATATTTATTACAACTCGTTTGGTAGCCGTGTTTAGCCCAGTCTGACAAACAGATCCAACAGAACTCGTATTTGCATTGTTGGTTACGACACGTCATGTGATTACAGCCACCGTTCTTCTCGATGGGAGCCTTGCATTTGGGACATTCCTGCGGCCATTATATCGTTAGTATAATTCATATGTATTGACACTATTTATATTTCATACCTTAGTGTAGGAAAGGATCCAATTGGCGGTCTCGCAGTCGATCTTTTCGCCGGACTCTCCCAAACACTTCTTGTGCCAACTCTTGAGAACAGCACAACGGGTCGGTTCGTGCCATTTCTCGCCGCATAGGAAGCAGAAGACTGATCCACACTTGCATTCAACGGCAATAAAGTCAATATAATTGTCGACTTTAACAGCACTGCAGTCAGGAGTGGGACACCATCTGAGGAAGCGATTGGACGCAACAAAACTATTTGTCATAAGATATCTGTATTTCACTAAGACTTTTGGCTCTTCAATGATGTTGTGAATGGTGTTGTCGTCAACAATGATATCACAACCGTTTTGAGCACAACTGATGGCATTGCAAACGCCTTCGCTTATGATTTTGTTTGTCAGGTATTGTCGCCAACAATCTGTCAAACATTCAAACCATTAATCAATTGATTACTATTTATAGCATTTAAACGCCAATAATGTCTCAAAATACATGATTATAAACAATAAGATACTAAAAATACTCACAAACACAGAACTCGTGGCCACAAGATATGGATGTCATCTCTTCGTCATTCATGTCATTGTAACAAATAAGACAAATCTTGGACCGAGTCTTAGCGACGGCCGATGAGGACGAGGACACCACTGCTTTCGGATCAATAATGTGAGCGTCACTGAAGAGCTGATCTCTATTGGAGTCGAAGTATTTCTCCAAAAGTTTAGACAAATCTTGGACCGAGTCTTAGCGACGGCCGATGAGGACGAGGACACCACTGCTTTCGGATCAATAATGTGAGCGTCACTGAAGAGCTGATCTCTATTGGAGTCGAAGTATTTCTCCAAAAGTTTGTTTTGATCCCATTTGAAGTGATTGAGAAGAATACGGATCACATCATTGGGCAGTTCCATCACTGACTTCACCTCATCGATCGATTGGTTCATCAGATCCACGATCTGTTCCACGTTTAAGATCTGGTACTTCGCCGACCCGGACGCGAGGCCCATCTCTTCGTCCATTGGTATGACTTCCGTCTCTAATAAAGTGATAATATTTGTGTCAATACAGTCTGTATAGCAATGCATCACATCGTTGTCCATACCGTTACTCAACCCGCTGTCCATCACTTCTCCCACTTCCTCCTCGTCTGATGAGTAGTCGAGATCAAAGTCTTCGTTGTCTTCGTTGTCAGACATGACTTCAGCACTCAATTCAATGCAAATCCCAAACAAAAAGATTGCCCCAAAAAATGAGGACAAAAACGTATGAAACGATTGAATACTCAAAACAAATGCAAATATAATTGAAATGTCTTTCAATCACTTCTTATACGCAAAACAAGGCTTTCAAATGGAAAAGTCGTTCACAAATAACGTTACGTTTCATAAAAGGGAACAAATAGTTGAACCAAAAGGTTTCCATTGGACTCAACGTAACGAATGACTGATCGAGTGATTAAGGGGTGAACGCATGTAACGACTTATGTGTAAACGAAGGCAACATTTCCTATATTTGTAGCAATGATTGCGTCATTAGTTATACAATAAATGTTATTTTGTTTGCCATTCAATGCATTACTCGTTCACACGTTTACAATACGTAACCATTTATTTAGTCAATACTTATTTCATAATTAGTTTATCATTATTTCAAACCATTATATGATTATAGGTTGGGATTGAGTGCTAACCTTATGGTCAATACTTGTCAACACTTCTCACTCGCGAGTAATCCCTTTCAGACCAAACCATTGGCCAAACAAATGAACAGTTGTTTCAAATGTTTGTCTCAATTCACTCATCATTTAGTGATTGAATACTAAATCGCATACAGAATACAGTATTAGATATAATATATGGTTATATCGTTTGTATCATTATTTCACGTTATATTTGCCATTCAATGAAGTGGTCATTGCTTTCACGCCATTTCATTACACGTCTATTGGAAGCAATCATTCGGCAAACAAATGGCAAACAAATCAATTCAATTAGATTTAAACTTTTAAATAATTATATTGTTAACAAGTTTTCAGTATATAGGCATCATTACAATTGCCACCTTGCTCATCACATCACATTCTCTCTCTCTCTCTCTCTCTCTCTCTCTCTCGTCTATAATTAATAGATTTGTTTATTTGTAGAGAAATGAGTGTAATATTAATGAATGGGTTATGAATACTAAGATTGTGTGATAAGTAAAGCAAAAGTAGTGCTGAAAATGTATTTTTGTAAAGCATTAAAATTCGTGTATTTTATAAATAAATTCTTTACGAAACCAAATAAAATGCGATAAGAATTGAATCTAAATATGAGATTACGATTATATGACATATAATTGACTTTTCGATGCATTTATTGCTATCATATGTTAGCCAGAAATTAGAGGAGAACTCAATTCACTTCTTATCGCAACAACTGATATGAAAAGCAAAACCATTTGCAAAAAAATATAACTTATTTTTGTCGCAATTATTTGGAAATAATTCCCTAATAATTGATGGCATTTCTCTAATCACTGTATTTCTATGGCTATTGTATTGTGTGATACAAATGTAGATAACACTACACATGACTAATTCAATTCGTTTAAATCATGTTCAATGAGATTCTCAATTTCCAACACATATTCAGTACTGTTTAATCGTTTATCATATTTGAATCAATTCATATTCCTATTGCTATCACTTTAAAGTTTAAACTAAATATTTTTTAAACAACTTTTCAACATTTCTTGCTATTTTAACATATAATTTGTAAATAATAATAATAATACCAAGTTTGCAATATTGCAAACATTAAGCATTTTATGAACACTACAGTAAAGGATCTAATGATATGACTTATTTAGTAAAACATTGATAAGAATGAGTAAAGTATTGCTGTTCTTTGTTTTTACCACTAAATTGATATCAACTCCAATAGAGACTACAGTTTATGTTATCAGAGCTTAATTGAAACGATAGTACAGTAGGCATACAATCATGTCATAGAGCGTCAGGAATTTGGTTCCGATCCAAACCCGACTCCCAATCAAACACTTTCTCCTTAAGATATTTTCATTACAATTATATGGAAATCAATATAATTGCAAGGATTGTCCAAATATTAAATTGTATATAATTTATGTATTAATTAATAATTATTAGTTTTGTTTTGCTATTATTGAGCAGATGTAGGGCTGGTGTAGGGCTGGTGTCCATCCGATGACTGATTGGAGGGCACGTGAAATAAGTGGCACTTTATGTCCAACTGTTTAGTCTAACAGTTGGTTATAAGAAGTGTGTGTTGTCTCGGATATAATCTTAACTAATGGTTTCGATTCAATAGTTTATCGCAAATATTTATCACATTTATTGCTGAACTCGAAGTTCAATATATTATATGATTTCTTCTAACACTACGAATAATAATAAATTTCTTATCAATTATGAGATAAATACTAAATACTACTCGTATTTCTTGACGAAAAAACATTTTGTAAAATCATACCAAAAATATTGCAAAAAATGCACTTTAATTTCAAATAAATTGTACAATTAATTCAATACATATAATTGTAATTTTAATAATTATAATATTTTTTCAATTTCATCATAAAAGGGTTTACACGAGTACTTTATAATGGATAGTGAATGTGTGTATAGTGTATGCACAGTATGTTTAGTATGTATTTTTGGTTATAATTTATATTAAAATGTCACAAAAGAAAGTACTCTAGAAAACAACAAATTTACAAAAATAGTTTCAAAATTATATGCATTTCATGATCAGAAGTGGTTTTAATTTTCACTTACTTTGTATTACTATTGTGTTTATTAATAGTATTTGTAACCAAATAATGAATAGTAAATCAAACAAACAAATAGCGTCTAAATTTTATTAATACAATCAAAATATATTTATATATATTGTGACTAAAACTAAGTTAACATAATTGGTATGAATTTAGAGGTAATTAAAGACAAGACATGATTTGACAGAACATGACTTACTGGACAGTCATCTAACAAATTAATCGCTATATTTGTGTTGATTTTATAGACATTAAACAAATTTTTATTTACAATCAAAATAGGTTTTTGAATGCATTGAAAAGACGACATTAAAACAGTTATACTTATAATTATAATAATAGGCATTAATTATTGAATGTATTGTTTTTATATAATTTAAGTGCATATGAGTTGAGAGGTATTGAGATTTATATAAACCCATGAATACGAGAGACAGACAGAAATGGTTTACATAAATCTCAATATAAAATCAAATCAAATATAATTGCTTTCATTCACTGTTTCTCTCTTTTTTAATTTTGAACTGTTGTTGCGTTGAAGGGTTTGAATTGGCGTTTGGGGTTTGGGCGCCCGTCCCGTGGCTATTGGTGTTGTGATCGGTGTTGTGATTGGCGTTGGCTGTGGTGGTAGTGGTTTGGGCGACAGCACCAGACTGTGCGCCACTGTTGTGGTCCTCCTGAAGAATGGTGGCGATCTCGTTCTGCATGAAAGCCCAGGGAACGTTCGACCCCAACAGCGGGCACTTGTCCCCAGACGGACAGTACACCTCTCCAGCGCCGGCACCGCCGCCGGTGTTGTGCTGTTGCTGTTGCTGTTTGATTGATGAACGACTGCAGGGGAAACAGAATTTGTGCGATGAGACGGACGGGCACTGAACGAAGTGCGTGTCTTCGAGCCTTTCCTGACATAACGTGCACTTCAGAGGCGCCGCCGCAGCCGCCGGTGGCGTCGCTGTCGACGGCGGCGTCGCTGATGACTGCGATTGACTCGACGTCTCGTTAAGTCGCGGTTTCTTTGGGTTCATATTGGGGTTCGAAGAGAGGGGAGGGGAGGAAGTGGTGGTCACACTATAGAATGTACTTTTGCCCACATTTGCGGCTGCGATGGGAATTGTGGCCGCTTTGGTGATAGTCGCGGTTTCTTTGGGTTCATATTGGGGTTCGAAGAGAGGGGAGGGGAGGAAGTGGTGGTCACACTATAGAATGTACTTTTGCCCACATTTGCGGCTGCGATGGGAATTGTGGCCGCTTTGGTGACCGTCGCGTCGAATGAATAGACGCGGCCAACCATTGGTGGGTGTGAGTGATGGCCCATCACATGCGGCTCTCGCGACAACTTCCGCAGATTCGCGTCCGCTATCGACACTCCGGGCGCTGCCATCACTGCCGGCAAACTCTCTCCTCTGGTAAGTGGAGGTCGACTCACGTTCACAATACCAGTCGAGTCTTCGATTATCAACTGCTGTTGTCTATTGCTTTGGCTGTCGTTGTCGATGGAGTCGGTGTCGACAATGGTATGAATGGGTCGCTTATTGGGTGCGCTGGGGTTGCGTTGAGTGGTCGCCACTATCTGTTGGCTCGAGTAGGCGCGGGCAGGACTTCCCCCTCCACGAGACCCTCCGCTCAAATCGAACTGTTGGCCAGAATTGCTTCTCTCGTAGCCCTGAGGCAGACCTCCATTCAGTTTGTATTGCGTGGGCTGTTGTCTGAGGAGTGGAGTGGAGACCACGTGATGATCATTGGCGCCGACAGAGACGCCATGCGATGATTGGGACGACTGCGTGACCACATATGGCTGACCCGAATGCGAGTGCGAATGGCTCTGACCGGCGGCCGCTCTCTTCAGTTGTCTGGCGTTCTCCATAATGATCTCGATTCTGTCGGCGCCCTCATAGTTGACACAACCCCTGCAAACCACTTCACTGAACTCGTGCAGCAAAGCCCACGGCATTCGCGGCAAATCACATAAATAGCAGTGTTGTCTCTGAGAGGCCAGACCTCCGCCGTGCATCAGTCCTCCCGATTGCGAGCCCATCGATGCCGACACGTGAGACATGATCGGCGAAGACGTCGAGTTCGCACCCACTCCTAGTCTATGACCACTCGATGCTGAAGACATGTCCGACTAAACAGCAAACAAGACAACAATCAATCAATAAATGTAAGCAATAGTCAATTGTTTGGACCTTTAAATAGATTTGTAATTGAGATGTGATTTGGAGATCAATTGCAGACTCGACTCGATTTGAGTGCAAAACACATTTGAATATAACTTTTATATATAATTAGAGTGTTATTTAAGGGAAGAGTGTTTTAGTATATTGTTATCAGTAGTAGAGCTCAGTATAGCTAAGAAACGGATAACATTTGTTACAACAATATTCATGAGATAAGCACAGCATTCATGTTTGCAACACTTATCTAATCACTAATTAATGCTTTCAATACAACAAGTTTACTAAACCTCAACTTATTTCCAGTATCACTAATACAGACATAGAGACCATAGACTCCAATAGTAATCAATACTTGTCGACCAATTGTCCACCATTTATAGGACAACCAGAGGTATGGCTTGAATATTGAATACCACTCACCACAGCATACATGTGCTTATTATTACAGTTAGAGTACACTATCAGCCCATACAGTGTATACACTATACACCACACAAACGCTACATGTATTCACACCTTCACACAGACTCGCATCACATCTCAAAACCAAATCAAATCAAACCTCAATTCAATGTAAAAGCAATGGATTTGACAACAAATGCACTGCAAAACCAATTTATAACAATTGCCTCAAGTATTGAGAGTAACAGTACTGCCAGTCCTGACAGCACTCGCCGTCAACACCAGCGCCACCTCTACTGCCCTTTACGTCACAACACGTCATGACATCACGTCATCACCACTACTATCACTGCAACGCTTCCAACACTTCCACACCAGTCACACACTCTCTCCCTCTCTCACAGACACAACACACTCACAGCACTGCCATTGAGTCCATAGTTGACCGCAATCTCTGTCCATACATGCCATTCACGTCCCCCCTCTCCCCCTCCCCTCCCCTCACACTCTCTCCATTGCCATAGCATTGAATGTATAGACAAGTAGTGATGCATTAGTGATGTCTGGTTCGGCATAGAGTGGAGTAGAGGTAGAGGTAGTGCTTAACTGTATGTAAGGCACAGCCATTCACAGCATTCACACCAATGCATACATTCACTGCATTTAACCATTAAATCACAACAATTACAACCGAACGGCAATTCCACTCACCGTTCACTCGATTGGCTCCTATAGTGTCCAATGGATGGCACAGTTGTGGCCAACGATTAGCGATGCGATGATGTCTTGGAGCTGATCCGCGCACAGAGTTGTGTCACTGGTGTCAGCGCTGTCTCATAGTCTGGCAACGAGTGAGGGCTCGACTGTAAGCGCCAGTCAATGCATTCACAGCCACTCATTCATGCGTCAAAACATAGTCCACATTCACTAGACTTTCAAATCACATTCCCATCAATTCAGTCCCATTTATACCGTACACAATTTATACCGCATACCGTCACATATAGTTGCGACCAATTATATGCAAATTTAACATATTTTGAGTCACATAAAAACTTGTACAATTATACGCCGGTATTGTTGTACTCTTCGTTAAAAATAACAAATATTAACACTAATTATCATTTATCTACCAAATTGTAAAGTATTGAATTAATAAACATTTTAAACCACAATTCTATATGAATAATGTGGTTTATAGGATCGTTCGGCCTGGTTAAGAGTCTGGTTAAGTTGGACTTATATTTGAACTTATATTTAGGCCTATATTTGGAATCCAAATATTTTTAACTAATTTGGAATTCCAAATTTTGGATCGAAGTGGTTTAAAAATAGTGTGTTAGGTATGAGTCATGTGAGTAGGGTTGGAAAAATACAAAAAATTGAAGGTTTGTATTATATAATATACAATTAGATATGTTATATTATTTTAATCACTAATTGTTCCAAATTCGACGATTGATTAAATTGTTTTAAAAAGGTAATGCAAGATGCGATTTGAAACTCTATCCTCAATTAGCACTAAAGCACGAGAGAAATATGCGGTCACGTGACTAATGCATACACGCCTATACACTGTACTGAAGTCTGAATACGTCTGAAGTGAACTGT